GCCACACTCAGTAGTGTTCGGGGCTTATTCCTGGCTCTGCACTCAGGGATCACTCCTAGCAGTGATCGGGGATCCATAGAGGCTGCTGGAGATAGAGCCAGGGATTGAACCCAGGTCAGCCATGTGCAAGGCAAGTGCCCTACCTGCTGTACTGTCACTCTGCCCCGTTTCCTTCTTTCTTTAAACTCTTTAAAGGACTTTCCATGCTTGGGCTTTCCATGTGCTGCCCACACATAGCCCCACTCTCAAAAAGTGCTCCCCAATCCACGCAGAGCCATGTTCTTGCCTTCGCATGTCTGTGCTCAGACCTTATATGTGGCCACATAGCTCTTCATGCCAGCTGGATAGCCTTCAGGGTCGCTTCTCCTGCTTCCTGCTTTCAGTGCAAAGTTCTATGCAAAAGATGACCCACTGGGTGTCACACTAAGGAAGGGCCGCCTAGGAGTTCCTTCTGCAGACATGGGATCACATGAATGTTGGCTTAGAAGAGGTCTGGACCGCGCAGGTTGCTGACTACAAAATAAAGAGCAGACGGGGCTAACTCGACGCTCAGCAGAGAGCCAAGCTTCAGTCCTAGGGTTGGGGTTCTCTTCCCTTTCCTTTGCGGTTGTGATGGCCAGCTGTCCCACACAGGTTTGATTGTGGTGCTTCCCACATTTGGCTGTGGAGCTCTGTGTGGGGCAAGGACAGGAGAAGGGGGCGGTTCGGTCCCACCCTTTAGTTCCAGTGCTCCTACAGTGCTACAGAGCCTGCGCCCTGTAGCGTGGTGCTAAGGGTCCCAGACAGCAAAGGTGCAGGCACAGACGCTTGGGAGTCAATGGTCTGGCACTCACCACGCAGGCCTTTTTGCCGGAGCCTCGCCGGGCCCCCATAGCCGGGATTCCTAGTGTGTTCTCGGCATGTCCTAATGTCATGGAGCAAGCAGAAAACGGAGGCGGGAGGGGAGTCTGGGCGGGCATGCGGGTCACAGCGTGGACACCGACCTCCTTGTGCTCTCCACTACCCCTCCCTTCCCACAGCTCTCCAGCGACTTCCGCAGCCGGCCTGCCCTGCCCCCTCCCCTACGACGTCCCTGCCCGCTGTGCCAAGCACTGTACCAGGAGGCGAGGGTCCGGATGAGCGGGCAGAGCGGGACCCCTGCTCAGCTCCGGGGCAGGGGGACGCGGACGATGCCAGCAGAAAAGGAAACCGCCACCCTCCCGCCGCGCCTCCGCTTCTGCTCGACCCAAAGCTGGACTTGTCCCCGCTTCGCAGTCCAGGAAGTCGAGTCCGGCGAGGGGCCGACCGCCCAGAGGAGAGAGGGGCGGCCGACCCGCACTTCCCGGGAAGGTGGGCGAAGCGGGCCGGAGGGTCCCCTTTCCCCGCCCCTTCCCCGCCCCGGGCCGCGGCGTGGCGGCCGGGCGGGCCGGGGCGGGGCTGGCTCGACGCGGGGCCGGAGGGCGCCGCGGGCCCCGCCGGGCGGACGCGCCGAGGACGCGGGACGGAGGACGCGCGCCGGGGGACACGGACCCGGGCCCGGGCGGCCCGCGCGGGCGGAGAGCGGAGCCCCGCGCGGCGGGACGGTGAGCGCCCCGAGCCCCGCGCCCTCGCGCTCCCGCCGCCCCCGGCTCGGCCCCGGCGAGCGGCGACGGCGGCCGCGGGGGGTCGGGCCGCCGGGCCGGGGTCCCGCGCGGGGGGCGGGCCGGGGAGGCGGCGGCCGAGGGGCGCGGCTCCGCGCGCGGGACCGTCCGGCCTGCCCGGCTCCTGCGGCCCGCGGCCTGGGCCTGGCGGGGGCGCGCGGCGGAGGGAGCGGGGCAGGTGCCCGGGGATGAGAGGGGCCCCTGCTGGGACGGCCCCGGGGCCCTGCCCTCGCGGCGCCCCCACCGACGGTCGACCGTCGTCGGTCCCGGGCTCCAGCTGCCGGGGGTGCGGCCTCTGCGCCCAGGCCACGGAGTGGTGAGCGGGACGATCGCGACAGGGCCCGTGACACGCCCTTGGCGCCCTCGAAGGCGCACGACCACCCACGGGGCAGCGGGCCCCTGCGGGGCGAAAGGACCCGGAGTGAGAGGGCGCGTCCCAGGGCCACGGGCGGTGATGGTCACGGTGGCCAAGGAGAGGAACGGAGGGCCAGGGAGCTCATGGGGTACACGTGGGGCGCCCCGCACACCCCCGCGGAGAGAAACCTGCCAGCTCATCCCACTCCGACGTGCGGCCGTGGCCCGAAACACCCCGCCCCTCGCAGCCGAAGTTCCTGCCAAAAATTCGGGATGAGCCTCGGGAGGTGAAGCAGCAGGACGGCCGGGCCCACTGTCTGTCAGGAGGTGGGGATGGAGCTCCCCAGACAGGATCCTCAAGCTGCGCGGGTCGGGGGGCTCCGCGTAGTCTGGCTGGTCGACTCCCTCTCCTACCGCTCTCTTCCTCGCGGACCTTGACCTCTGGGCCTGAGCCCCGCCCTCGCCTTTCTCACCGCGGCTCCCCTCTGCCTGAGCCTCTGCCTGTCACTTCTCCGGTTATCCCAGAAGTAAATTGGGCCGCTTGGTTTCTCTGGCTCTTTCAACTTAGTTCTTGATTCCAAGCTTTCCTTGAAGCCTGTGCTCTCCGCCAGGCCGGCCCAGGTCTAGGCTGGGGGGGGGGGGGGCAAGGAATGGTCAAAGAGCAGCCTCCACCCGACCAGGCGGAGGGACCAGTGGAAGAAAACACAGAGGCAAGGGAAAGGGGGCCATGTCCAGGCAGGAAGGAGCCTAGGTTGGAAATGGGGCTGAAGGTTGGGTGGTGTGGGTGGTGTCCTATGAGGAAATTGATAATCAAAGGGGCTGTGCAGAGGGAGTGCGCCCCACTTCATTGCAGTGTGAGTGGTTTCGAAAGCGGCGATTAGAGTGGAAAACTTCTGGGCCCAAAAGATCCTGGTTGGCACTGGGAGCAAGGGATGAGGAGATGGACAGCTCCTGCTGGGAGAGCTGTCCCTTCTCTCCCCTCTCCTCCATTTGACTGAGTGTCCCCAGCCCTCCCTGCCTCGTGACGACATGTGGCACCCTTGTTCCAAGCTTCTCCTCTAACTTCCTGTTGCCTGGTAGGATGACAGCCCTGCAACCTATCTGCAGAGCCTTTGGTTACACCCACTCATGAAACTGTTTCAGTCTGGGACTCGAGATAATACACCAGGTAGGGCACTTGCCTTGCATGTAGCCAACCTGGATTTGATCCCACGCACCCCAAATGGTCCCCCAAATCCTGCCAAGAGTGATCCCTGAGAAAAGCCAGGATATAGCCTCAAAACAAGCAACTCCCCCCCCCTTGCCCGAACAAACTGTTACCCAGCCCTGTCCCAGCTTTACTAGAGATGTGATGGGGGGGCAGTGGTCTGGTGTAAGCTCTGAGGTCAAGGCTAGGCTTTGTTCACGGTCACGGTCCTCCCGTTGTTCATCGATTTGCTTGAGCGGGCCCAGTAACGTCTCCCTCATGAGACTTGTTACTGTGTTTGGCATATTGAATACGTCACGGGTAGCTTGCCAGACTCTGCCGTGCGGGCGAGATACTCTCGGTAGCTTGTCAGGCTCTCCGAGAGGGGCAGAGGAATCGAACTCGGGTCGGCCATGTTGGCCGCTTGCAAGGCAAACGCCCAACCGCTGTGCTATCGCTCCAGCCCAGGCTTTGTTACTGTATTTATTTTTAATTTTTAATTTTTTAAAATTTTTTTGCATTTTGGGTCACACCCGGTGATGCACAGAGGTTACTCCTGGCTCATGTACTCAGGAATTACTTCTGGCAGTGCTCGGGGGACCATATGGGATGCTGGGAATCAAACCTGGGTCAGCCACGTGCAAAGCAAAAACCCTACCTGCTGTGCTATCAGTCTAGCCCCTGTCACTGTATTTAAACCTCACTCGTGAGCTTGGGTCCAGGACTTCAACTGACAAGGGTCAGAGCCAGGTTAACATTCCGCTTTCCCCCAGCCAGAGCTCAGTGCCTATTAGCCTTCTTGTGCTCATGTGCTCGTCTGAGGCCAAGAGCGAGTCACCCGGGTTCTTGAGTCTGCATTTCCCAAGACTCATGCACTCCCAGGGGAGATCCAATAGATACCTGTCCACATCACCCAGCCAGTTGCAGGGGCCTAATTGGCGGAGCTGGGATGAAAACCCAAGGCTCCTGAATGGAAGGTCAATTGACCTAGGCTCCAACCTAAGTCTGAGATGCTTCCATTCTAAGAGGAAAGGCACGTTCATCAGAATCTGATGTGGGCCAGCCCACCTGGGTGGATTCAGCCTGCTTTCCCTACTGCTGGGCCAGGCACTCAGTAGGCGTGCTCAGACTTGCAGCGTGGGCTGTCTTGGGGAGGGGCCAGTATTTGCTTTCCGACTGGAGGAGGCTGGCTTGAGCGGAAGAATCTCCAGCCACTGTTGAAGGAAGTGGAACCCTTGAATCCTGCCACCCAGTCCCTTTTCTGCAGTCCCTGCAGCCACAGCAAAGGCCACCCAGCTTGCCTTATAAGGACCCTTTCCTCTTTCAGGGTGATGAAAAGACAGGACATTTTTGGTAGAAAAGTCCCTTCTGCAGTCTGGGAATCCCCGGTGGCCGGATGAACTGCGGGATATCCCAGAGGAAGCAGGAAGGGGGGCTGCCTGCCCCCAGCACATTGTAGCCCGGCTCTCCCACGCTGCATCAGCTGGCCCCACCCCTCATCTCTCAGGGCAGTGCTCGAGGGGCTGCAGGTGGTCACTGCCCCCAGATCATTAGCAGCTAGTCTACTGAGTGTCTGAGCTCCAAACTTCTGTGAGATGCAAGCCAAGTGCGGAGGAAACAGCCAGATGTGAGGGCTGGGCCCCAGGACAGGGAGCTCTGGTGGCCTGGAAATGGGGCAGAGGTTCTGGATCCAAGGCAGGAGGAAGACTTAGATCCCACGTATCGCTGCAAGTATAGACGTTTTCCAGAAGCTGAGAGGGGAGAGAGAAACGACGTATTGGTAAGGGCTGCCCTCATACCAGTCTGTGCCCTCACTCCTAGGCTCCTAGCAGAGCAGCCTCGGTTCCTGATCCTGGACACTTGGCCTTCCACGCAGCCCGCCATGGCGCTGTGCCTGAAACAGGTGTTTTCCAAGGACAAGACTTTCCGGCCACGGAAGCGCTTTGAGCCGGGCACACAGCGCTTTGAACTGTACAAGAAGGCTCAGGCATCACTCAAGTCCGGCCTGGACCTGCGCAGCGTGGTGCGGCTGCCACTGGGCGAGAACATCGACGACTGGATCGCCGTGCACGTGGTGGACTTCTTCAACCGCATCAACCTCATCTACGGCACCATGGCCGAGCACTGCAGTGAGAGCAGCTGCCCTGTGATGGCCGGAGGGCCGCGCTACGAGTACCGCTGGCAGGACGAGCGCCAGTACCGGCGGCCGGCCAAGCTCTCCGCGCCCCGCTATATGGCCCTGCTCATGGACTGGATCGAGAGCCTCATCAACGACGAGGACGTCTTTCCCACCCGCGTCGGTGAGTGGTGTGGACCGGGCAGAGAGGGAGCGCCCCGTTCCACAAGCCAGGCATTAGCCTGATGGAGCAGCTCCCAGAATGGGGTGCAGTTCATTTTGTTTTGGTTTTGCTTTGGTTCGCTTTGGTTTGATTTTGGTGTTTGGCCACACTGGGAAGTGCTCAGGGGTTATTCCTGGCCCTGTGCTCCCTGGGTCCACAAGTGGGTGCTAGGGATCGAACCAGGATAGGTAACATGTTTTTGTTTGTTTTTTGGAAGCGTAAGGGTTGGAACTCAGGGCCTCACATCCGCAAAGCAAGTGCTCCACTAGTCCCCTACCCACTGCTGGTTCTTAGTTTTAGTCTGAAGACTCCACTTGGCAGACCCCAGACTACCGTTCTCAGAATCTTCTAGAGCTAGGTGCCTCAAAATGGTGTTAGATTGCAAGCACTGATCTGACTTGCTGCCTTGGGGCGTTCCCTCTGACCTCTGGCCCCAGGAAAGGGAAGGGGTGGGTGCTCAGACTTATCAGCCTCGTAGGGCAGCTGGAGGGCAGAATTTTCTCTAGCTGGTGGTTACCAGCTTTTCCTTATCGTGACTGGGGAGCCTGGACTGGCTTGGGGGGAGGGGACGGGGTGCCCCTGGTCCTGCTCCTCCACCCAAAGCCACTGGGAGGGAAGGCCACCTAGGGCTGAGCTGGCAGTGACACTGTTCATCACAGCAACCCCACCTCATGGGGGCCTGGTATTCATTCTCCTAAGGCCTGGAGAGCCTGAGAGGGGTGGGGCAGGGTGGGCCACCCCAGGATAGACTGGCCCTGAGTCACCTGTTCCTGAGGCCCCTCCCCCACCTGGGGGCCTGTACTTTCCTGCACTATCTTGCCCAACAATTGTTTCTTCTTTTCACACTGGAAGAAAGTGAGGCTGAGAGGGGCAGGGCACTGAATCAGAAGAGATTCAGAACTAGCTCCAGGCCCAAGTCTAGATGGGCAGGGCCTGGGCTGGCCAAGGAACGCTCACTGGAGGCAGAAGGGAGCTAGGGTTCAGTCCCCAGTGAGAGCTGGGAAAAGGGAATTTGGCAGAAAGGACCTGTTAAGGGTTTTAGAACCCCTCAGGACCCCTGGGTCTGGGCACCTCCAGATGTCTGTTCTTTAACCCTGGGGTGAGTCTGCTGTGGCAGAGCAGAGAGCAGTCACCAGGATCGTCAACTTTTAGGAGTGGGCCCCTATAGGAATTGCCTATTTCCGGGTCCCAGAGGGTCTTTTAGGCAGGGTTGTACCATTTGTTTCTGAGAGTTATTTCCCTTATAGTGCAAAATAGGGTTGAATTTTGCCTCCAGTGTGTACAGTGCGTGTATAGTACAATTTACCCTTGTGCTCTTCCATTCTGTCTTCCGTGGAATGATTATCATACCCATCCCATCCCACTCCACAGGGGCTAAAGATTAGAGAAGCTGCACTAAGGGCTGGCTTGTGGGTAGAAGGCTCTCTGCAAAATACCTGAAGCAATGGGATGTAGCTGAGTCAGTGTTTGATGATAGAGTCATCTTACGGGGTCTGGAGCCTGCTTTGTGAATGTTGAGGAAAGACATGGGCGGGGTTGGGTGGGGAAGGCCGGCACTCATCACAAAAGGTCTTGAGCAGGCAGCACGTGGGAAGTTAGGACAAGATCCTGAGGACCCACTTTTTCAGAATGGACCCTAGGGACTTACCGATAGCAGAGCAGGTAGGGTGCTTGCCTTGCACACAGCTGATCTGGACTTGATCCCCAGCATCCCATATGGTCCCCTGTGCACGTCCAGGGATAATTCCTAAGCCCAGGATCAGGAGTAACCCCTGAGTACCACTGGGTGTGGTCCCAAACCCCAAAATAAATAAAATGGACCCAAATATTGATGGACTGCACTTTGGATTTATATTCTAATATTTCTGGGGAGAGTTTAGGCTGAACTTTCATCATTGTCCAAGAAGGATTGGTTTATGAGCCCAGCCAAATTGTAACATCTATCTCAGGGGAGAGGGAACATGTGGGAAATTCTATTTCAGTGGGGTAGAAGCACAGGTAGATTTGAGCTTTATTAAGGGGCCAGGACTATAGGTCAGAGATTGAGCACTTGTTTTGCAAATTGGGGCTCTGTTTTGTTTTTTGTTTGTTTGTTTTTGTTTGTTTTTTTAAAAAAGAAGATAAGATAGAAAGGAAAGTAGGGGCCAGGAAATTAGTTCAAGCTGTAGAGCACATTATGAGTTGCTGAGCTTGATCCTAACACTGTGTCCTTCCCCTGCACACCCCCTCCAACACACACACACACACACACACACACACACACACACACACACACACACGAGCACACACGAGCACTGTTGACCCCTCAGCACCACCAGCTGGGCGCTGATGTCCCCTGAGCATCAACTGACCTGAGCACTGTGCTGCTGGACTGAGAATCAGCAGGAGAACCCTCACCTCCACTCCAGCTGTCCAGGAACCTTCAATTTTGAACAAGGAGGGAGTATGGAGGGAAGCAGCCAGGACCCTCAAGTGGGCCAGAGGGAGGTGCTAGAAACAAACGCATCCTGAACAGAGACTGCCTGCCTTCCCCAGGGAGGGCAGGGCTGGGTAGTTCCACTACCAGGATACCGACTTCCCAATTCTGGCCTTCTCTACCCTCAGGAGTGCCCTTCCCCAAGAACTTCCAGCAGGTCTGCACGAAGATCCTGACTCGGCTCTTCCGTGTCTTCGTGCACGTTTACATCCACCACTTTGACAGCATCCTCAGCATGGGGGCTGAGGCGCACGTCAACACCTGCTACAAACACTTCTACTACTTCATCCGCGAGTTCAGCCTTGTGGACCAGCGGGAGCTGGAACCTCTGGTGAGGCCCGCCCGCCAGCCTCCCCACCAGCTCTGGCTCTGAGTTTTCAGGTCTAAATGCCACTGCCTCAGAAAAATCCAGAGCAGGGCCCGGGGAAATGGTACAGGGGTGTGTAGGGCACATGGAGAGAGGGTTATCTGAGTGCATGTGCCTGACTCTGGTTACAATCCCTGGTACTGCCTAGTCTCCAAACAGAACTGGGAGTAGTACCCAAGCACTGCCAGGTGTGGCCTCCAAGCTCCCACCCAGTCCCCTAAAAAAAGGTAAGAATGGGGCAGGGAGATGGCTCAAAGAGCTGGAGCATTTGCCCGTGGGGACTCCAGTTTGATTCCTGACACCACCTGTCCCTAGAGCACCACCAAGTAAGGGTCCCCTTGGGGAAAAAGGAAAATCAAATGCCTTACTGGATAATTAGGGAAAGACAATTCATTTACCAAGGGATTCTATATTTGGATGCAGCATTTCTCAACTTAGGGCCTGGGATTAGTGCAAGGGCCACAGGTGAAAAATCCATACATGACCTAGCATGTACATAGAGACTTGGGGGCCAGTCAGAAGGATGGAGAGGGGGGCCAAAGGAAGGACAAGGTCAGAAGAGGACCAGGGTCAGAAAAAAATGCTGAGAGACCCTGCTTTAACTGACAGTTCATTCAAACACAGTTTAGTGCAGCCAGAATCAGAGTGGGGGACAGAAAGGGGCCAGGTTGAGGCAGAAGAGCCATGAGGCCTGGGGGGGAGGCTGGCTGGGTAGAGCCCCGACTGACCCATCCCCACCCTGTGTGCCTACAGAAGGAGATGACAGAGCGGATCTGCCTCTGAGCCCAAGCATGGATGTTGCTGCCCGTCAATGGACCGTCTGGGTGCAGAGTGAAGATGAGGGACCCTCAGGAGTCTTATGGCTGAGAAACCAGAAGGCTCTGAGCCCCCTTCACACACCCAAAAGCCCCTGGACTTCTGGTTCTCAGGAGTCAACCCGCTTGTTTCTCGAGTGCTTGTGAATGGGAAAGGGAGAGCTTAAAGGTGGGCAGAAAGGAGGAGTCCGCCCTGGCAGGAATCTGGGCAGGGTTGCTGGGGGATCTCTGCTCTGATACCTGAACCTGCCACGGTGGTTCTTAAGTTGGTTCCCTGTTTGGGGAATGTGATCGCAAGAAAGGGAGAAGAGAACGAACAGCTTGTTTGAATGAGGGTGTGTGTGTGTGTGTGTGTGTGTAAGAGTTTAACTGGAGTTTAGCTGTCAGAGCCAGCGGCCTTTGCCCCTCTAGTACATGGTAGCATGTCTGTAGCTGGATGGCTGGAAAAGAGGGAGGGGGAGAGGATGTGACCATCAGACCATGAGCACTGCAGGAGTGGTGGCAAGTCAGTCTCACCATGGGTGTAAGTGCCCAAGATGTGCTTGTAGATATGTCACTGGCCATCAGCACAAGTGTGGGAAGCTGAGAGGTGGGATGGGGGAGTGTTGCCCAAGTACTCAACTCCCTGGCTCACGCTCTGCTGTGCTCAGCCAGAAAAGCCCAAGAGCTGTCATTTCACGCTCCTCTCTCCCTGGAAAGACCTTCCTGGGCCTGGGGGCAGTCCCTCACGCCTCCAGAGGACTGTGGTCCTTAAATCGGAAGTCATATGCTCCACTCTAGCTCCCAGAATCTGGAGGTCTGACTCCCCGGATCTGAAAACCAGCACTAGATAAATCTCCATCCCAAGAAACCTGTGGAACCTGAATTGGGAAACGCTATTAGAGAGTTTTATCTCCCATTCCAGTATATTAAAGACCAGATTCCTAGTAACTGGACTCTTGCAGGCATGGAGACCCCTTTTCCAGCAAATGCCTGCTACTTTCCCAGCCCTCCCTGAGACATTTTCTCTGCTGGATCTCAGAGCATGGGGTCACTGGGATGTTCATTCAGCACCCCATATCCAACCTTTGCCCTGATTCACGGGTGGGGAAACTAAGTCAGGGACTGGGCCCTTCTGTTCCAGAATGAACCTCAGTGCTGGGAGGCAGGGTCTGAGGATCAGCCAGTCTACTCAAAAGGCTCATCCACATGCATAAGAGGAAGGTGAAATCAGAAGAGGGGAAAAGTCTGAGACCTCCCTACAAGGCTTATGTGGGGCTAGAATAGAAACCCGGGCCTCAGTTCCCACTCTGGAGAGAGTCAGGTGCTACATGGGGGATGAAGGGCACATGAAGAGAGGGTTAACTTTCCAGATGCAGCTGTTTCTGTAGGAGCACCGGAGTGCTCCACCACCCCCTTCCCCAGCACAGCTGGGTGTCTGCTGAAACTCGCCTCTCCCTAGCCCAGTAGCTGCTGGCTCTCTGTGGAAGCTGATGGAGTCCTAAGGAGCCAACTGGACCTGAGGTGACTTCTTGAGGACAAGTTCCCCAGGGGAACACAACAGCACAGCAGCTTGGCCAGAGGCTCTGGAGTGAGATGCTCAGAGGTCCCCAAGGGCAGTCTCTAGATCTAGGCTGTGGTCGGTGCTAATCGGGAGGGGAGTGGGAGGAGGGGAATCTATTTTTGTGAAATAAAGGGAAGACTTTGTTATTATTTTTGGTAAAATAAAGGAACAATCTAAAGTGACAATGGAGACAAGCTGTGGTCTGGGCGTCACGTGGCTGCTGGGTAAGCTGTGGTTTCAGCAGGGATATATATGCCGGGGTGGAAAGCTCTGTCCCGAGAATGGCCGAGACGGTCATCTCAGACCAGAACTCTGTGCTTTCCCCAGGGCTTGGAACTCAGCACCAGGCTGGATTAGGACCCTCCAAATTGGCCACACAGGATTAGATTCCCCCTGCTATTGGGGGAGATGAATCTCTTGGCGGAGTCCTTCTTGGTTTCTCTTCAGATCACTTGGCATTTGGCTATTCTCACCCACCTCTTCAGGGCAGTTTATTGGAACAGATGGGTTAAGGGACAGGACAAATGCAGTTCTAATCCAACGACAGCCAAAGAAGCCCTTTCAAGAGAAGGCTGTTTCGGATTGCTGGTTAAAGCTCCACATGTGGATACAGGATATGGACAACCCCCTGAGGGTTTTTCTTTTTTTTTTTCTTTTTGGGTCACACCTGATGATGCACAGGGGTTCCTCCTGGCTCTGAACTCAGGAGTTACTCCTGGCAGTGCTCAGGGGACCATATGGGATGCTGGGAATCGAACCCGGGTCGGCTGTGTGCAAGGCAAACATCTTACCCGCTGTGCTATCTCTCCAGCCCCCCCCCCCCCCCCCCCCGAGTTTAATCCCCAGGATATACCTTAGCCCGGGTCTTGCTGCTGCTCCACTGCCCCAACCGCACAGGCTGCCTAGACAGGAACTGAAAACATGTTAAGTCAGCAGAGATCCAGCTAGAGGTCTCCTAGGAAGTTCGGAGCCTGCCTTCATGCAGTGGTTTCTGGGGTTTTAGTCTAGGTCACCACAGTTCTTCTACTCTCTAAATCTTAATTTCCCCTTCCATTTCTAACCAGCAGTGGTAATAAGGAACGATTGATTTCTAAGTTCATTATTCACAAGACCGTGGGTCATTTGTAATAATAATAACTAATACTATGTGTCAAACACAGGTCAGAAAAAAATTAACGTATACTCACTAATGGAATCCCATTTGTCCTTGGCAAGCTGCCTTTCCCTAACATCTAGCCTCCTCCCCTACCTGCTCTAGGATCTGTAAGGCCCTGTACTCAGTTATGCCTTCTTCCAGCTCACAGCAGAGGCCCCAGCCCAGCATCCTGCAAGGTGCTCTGCTTGTGCCCCTCCACACCCATTCCTCAGTCACTGGACACTCACACTTTTAGTTCAGCCTCTGGGCTCATAGATGTCTTGAAATACACCCTGGCAGTGAAACCAGGTTTTCTCAGAACTAGACGACTAAGGCCTACAGCTTATATGAGAATGTGAGTACATTTAGAAAGCTGTCACAAAACTGCTGAGAAATTCAGAGAGGGGCACTGAGAGAATAGGCAGAGACAGAAATAAAAGGAGACAGTGAAGAAAGCGCTGGGGCTTCAGCACTACAGACAAAACAGTCTCCCTCTGGGGCACAGTGTGGCAGGAGAGATGCCTGAAGAGGCAATGTATTGAGATTAAAGGAGCAGCTTGGTGAGAAAGCCAGGGTGCAGAAGGCTTTGTTTTCCTTTTGATTCCAGATCCATTAAGAATAGTTTGGAGGGTCAGAGAGATAGTACTGAGGTTAAGGCATTCACCTAGATGTGGCTGTAGCCATGACCCTGGTTTGAATCGCAGCATCACATATGGTTCCCCAGGTACAAAGCCAGATATGATTCGAAACCAAACAAAAACATTTTCTTTAGTTTGGTGCAGGGAATGAGAAAGCAAGTCATTCTCCCCACCCTGGGGTCGAGCATCTGCTGAGTCAAGGTTGCCTCTCCTCTTGGCCATCATGAGTCTCCGTACTCCTCTTGCCATCGCCTTCAGTTTACTCTTCCTTCTCTGCCCTTCTTCCCCACAGCCATCATCTCTGGTATTAACTGACCTTGGACACCATGAGGAGGCGGTAAGTTTTGAGAAACTGGATTGAAACAGGCCCGGTTAGCTCAGGACCAGCTGACTGTTGAGCATTCGGGGAACAGGATCAGGAGCAGGCCAGCCTGGTCTCTGAAGACATGAAGCTCGGGTGGGCCTGGAAAGTGATGGGTGGGAGAGGTCTCAGGCTATACAGAAACAGGGTCTTGGCCCAAATTGGGAAATCTAGCCAAGTCCTAAATAGTGGCTAATGATCCAGACTTCCTTCCATGGTATAAACAAGATCAAGTCCACAAGGCAAAAGGGGAACAAATGTTTGTCAGGCAGCTGGTGGAAAGGATATCCAGGTGGCTCTTTAACCAGCATTGCTCACTAGAGCCTCCCAGCAATCCCCAGCGGGTGGGGAAGGGATGTTTGCTTCCATTCCATCAAAGAGGAAACACACTTGGAATGTGAACCTGAAACGAACCCAAGTTGGCACTCTCACTTCTCCACCAGCCTACAGGCTGGGCTGGCAGAATCTTCTGCAGTTTTTCCCCCAGGAAATGCGGTCTTAATCATTTTTAACTAATCTTGAGCAGTTGGGAGTAATGCACTACCCAAGGCGTCTCCCGAGTGGAATCAGAAGCAGCCCAAAGTTTTTGAAAGAGATCCCCCAGAGTCAGAAGAGCTCGTGCAAAGGGCGCGTCCATAAAACGGCACTGCAACTCCTTGCTGGCGTGCGGAAGCGCCCAGTAAGCGCGGACCACGCCTGCCGCCAGGCCTCCCTCCGGGCGCCGCCTCCGCTCCCGACGCCGAGACGCGTCCCACGCGCCGAGCCCGCCGCCCTCCGCCCTCCGCGGCGACCTCCGGGCCGCTCTCCCGTCCCGCCCGCGCACCTCCTCGACCCGGCCCACCCCTCGCGAGGCCGCCGCCGGCGCAGGCGTGGCCCCGCCCCCAGCCGCAGGCCCGCCCCTCGGAGTGGCCCCGCCCTCGCGCGCTCGCGGCGGAGAGCGGCGGGTGTGCGCGCCGGCCCCGCGGGAGGCAGCCGGAGTCGCGGCGGGACTGGCGAGGTAGCTCCGAGCGGCCCGGGCGGCGGGCGGGGGGCGCCGTGCCGGGCGCCGGACGTCGGAGCTGCCGGGGCCGCCGAGGTCGCGACCCGTCCCGTGGGGGGGCGGCGCGGACGCGGGGACGCTTCTTGCGGACTTGCCTCGGGCGCCGACGGGACGCGCTCGGGCAGCGCGTCCCGGCGGCGCTCGAGGGGCGACGGGCGTTCGGGCCGGAACTCGGGGGCGCGGGGAGGACGCGGCCCCCGCGACGGAGCGGCGGGCGCGAGTCCGGGCAGCCGCGCGCCGGGCCGGGCCGGGCCGGGCCGGGCGGGGAGTTCGCGCCTCCCGGGCCGCGTTCCCGGCCGAGCTCCGACGGGGACGCGCCGCGGGCCGAGCCCTGTCAGAGGCGCCGGCGCCGCGCGAGGAGCAGCGCCGAGGGCCCGACGCGGGGGTCGGCGGGGCGCCCAGCCTGGATCTGGAGCCGCCGCGGCCCCTCGAGGCGCGGCCCCCGGAGCCGGCGCTTCGCT